TGTCAGCAACCTTCGTGACAAACTAATGCAGAGCATTAAACCCCTCAGAACCCTTGTTGGCAAGGGCTATGGAATTAACATCACCTATGCTCGTATTTTCTATCTTCACTTCCTTCGTTCTGTAGTTGACTATCATGCTCTCCATCTTGTGACTATTCCGCCTAAACAACTCAACAGCCTTGAGGTAGTGCAAAATAAAGCCATGCGCATCATTCTAGGATGCCCAAAATCAACCAGAATTGTAAACATGAGGAAAGAGCTCAGACTGCCCTCCCTATCTGAGAGGATAGCTCTACTTAATACCATGTTTTGTGTCAAAGTTTTGAAGAACAATGGTCCCCAAACTACAGCTCAAACTGAGTTGATGTTCTATCTAAGTAATCCCAACTATCTCGCCGACCTTCCACAAAAGACTCTTTGGGGCGTGGCTTCATAAAAGTGTTGCAGATCTCTTGAAACTGAATGTCCCAATCACCCCAGACGAACCCATTAATGCCATTCCTCCTTGGCTGGATATATCAGTTCCTATTTATTACACTCCTGTTGGTAGTAAGCAAATGTTAAACACCGATGTGATGAGATGTGTCACACTAGAAACTATTAACAAACACATAGAGAGTATTAAATCAAGTGAATGTTATGCTTTTACTGATGGTTCTGTGCAGACAAACACAGGTAGAACAGGCTGTGCAATTGTAATATATAAAGAAAAAGAGATGATAGTGTCAAACAAGGAAAGGCTGAACAACTGGGCCAGCACAACACAAACTGAACTAACTGGAATCTACTTAGCCACAGACTACCTCAAAGAAAATGGAGGTGGGGTGATATTCTGTGACTCTCAAAGTGCTTTGAAATCAATGAACAGCCCGTCAGGTTCGATGTCTCAAGTTATATGTGATATTAAAAGAAATGCCAATGAGAACAACTGTCATATCGAATTTGTGTGGATTCCGTCCCATGTTGGAATTAGCTATCATGACCGTGATGATAGACTGGCCAATGAGGCATGTAATAAAGAAAACGTTGACCATGACCTTGGCCAGTCAGAATCATGAGCTCTGATCTAGAAGAACTGAGAAATGCAGAGAGACCTGGCAGTTGTAGCATTAGTAAATATGACAAATTTTGATGAGAGGTAATGGTATGGCCAGCATAAGGACAGAACCAGACAATGTGATGTAGTCGCGGCCAGAATTAGGCTAGGATACAGACACATCTGGCAAGTTAGTCATGCTGTACCCATACCGGAACACTCAGCATGTAAACTTTGTGATAAACCTTTAAAGCATACACTTGAACACTGTATTATTGAATATGACACTGTGAGGCGATGAACAGTACAACACTGTCTCACTGGCCTCCCCCTATTGGCTGGCTAACATACCACTAATGGAAAATATATGTCCCAGTCATGGCTCGCCGGGTGCCTTATCTCCAGTAAAACAAACTTTGGAGTTGGTTGCGAGGGTGAGCCTAACGCAACCCATGACAGGTTCTATGTTTACAATCATTTCCAGTGGAGTAAATATCAAGAAAGTTGTGCTCTTGAATATTTTTGCTTTTTTTTTTAAATGTTGGTCATTCTGAAATTTAGTTAACATATTGATAATATATACAGTACAGGGAACAGTTTTTGTGTGCCCTTCAGCTGATCGAATCACCCACCAACACTTCTCAGTTCAACTTTGTTTACTGTGGAGTGAACATCGAGTTTGTTGGTCTCTTGAATATTTTTGCATTTTTACACTGAAATTATTGGTCATTCTGAAATTTAGTTAACATACAGTTTGTCCCGACTTACGACGGGGTTAGAGACCCAAATCCAGGTCGTAAGTTGAAATGGTCCCAAGTCAAAAATGCTTAAATAATACGTAGAAAATCTAAAATGGGTGTCTCTTTTTCTTCTCAGCACCACAAAACTCTCACTTTTATGCTTGCCAGCCATTTTAAAGTAAATTACAAACGAAAGTTTTGTCAGTACACAGCGCAATCACTGACGTTGGGACTCGAAAATACGTAATTTGACAAAATTTTGGTACGACTGAGGTGGTCGTATGTCCGGGTGGTCGTAAGTCGAGTAGGTCGTAAGTCGGGGAGGAGCTGTATTGATAATATATAGTGCAGTGTTGATTTTATAAAATAATCTTGAATTACACCTACTGAACTAAAAATTTTATTGATGAAATTACTGCATCAAGCATGGGTCCCCTGAAAGGTGATTTCTCCTCCATCCCCACTTCCTTCTCTTCTCCCTTCTCCTCCACACCCACTTCTAATTCCCATCATCATCAACCAGGAGCCTTCTAGATACACACCTCAAAGTAAGTGTACTTTCCCGCATATTTTATTTTTACTTTGTATGTACTTTTCTGTGAGCTGGAACCAATAACCCAATATCCCATTGAAACAATGGATTCGGTTTGCGAAATTTTCGGTTAACGAACGACCTTCTGGAATGAATTGTGTTCGTTAACCGAGGGACCACTGTATATGCAAATTGAACAATACAATTCATTAATAATATGTAGAATATTAAAACACACAAGACGAGACGAGAAAGCATTGTTTTCGTTAGTGTTTACATCCGTAATGATGGTTCTACATAAGAAAATTAAGAAAATAAGACCCTGGTTGTAGCTGTAGTAAAATTAATGTAAAAAAATGATTATGTATGTTATAAGTAATGTTATTTAAAGTTAATAACTGGAACAATAGGAGTAGCTAACCACTAATGATAAAGAAAAATCGAGACGGATTGGGAATGCCAACATATGTGAAAACACATCATCATTTCTCAACATAAGAACATGAAAGCAACACTTATTACTGTTCAGATTATTCTCTCCCCTTCCTACTCCACATATCAAGAAACACTCAACACACTGACCCTTTCGACTCTCACTGACCATCACCACGACCTCATCTGCAAATTTGGTAAGAAGCTTCTAAACCATCCTTGACACCGGCTCCTACTACCACCTGAGATCCCTAGCCCGAGAATTGCTGTTCGACACCACAACCGCATCCAGCCCATACGTGCACGAACTGATCGCTATAAGAACAGCCCAGTCCCAACCATTGTAAAAATTATCAATAACTTGTAATAAACCAGTGTATTCACTCCCAGTAAATACTACTTCTTGCACTGTCACTATGTTGAAATGCACAGTAGTTTGAGCTTTTCCCCATCTAGTTATTATATATCTTATTTGTATCACTTACGTTACTTGTATATTATTTGTAATTCGAAACCCATTCCCCAAATATGTAACTGTATATTTTCAGCCTTCTGGCTGCCAAGCTCTTTCAATAAACCGTTAATTATTATTTTTTATTATTATTATATATGTTTTAAATAATATTTACTAATGTAAAACAAAATTCTACTCACCAATGGTTTTAAAGTCTAAAACATAAGGACAGCCAATGAATGTTGTGCGATGATGAAGTCATTAGGCCCAACTTTGACTGAAGCTGTAGCTTTCCGTAAAGATATCATAGCTGTTGCTGAGACTGTTACTGAACCTGAAGTTGTTGCTGAAGCTGCTTATGACGCTGAATTTGATGGTAGAGCTAAAGTTGATGGTTTAGGCCTTCGAATAATAAAGCTGTCAAAAGAACCTTGCACAGCTGCATTTTTCACGTCCCTGTTTATTTTAATGCTTTGTTCTGTTAATGGATCCAATTCAGAAAATATGTTCATTGCTTGCTCCATATAATATCCACAGGCCTCTCACCTTTTTCATATCGTTTTAGCACTAGTTTCTCGGCTAAGCTTATACACTTTCTTTTAGCTTTTGAACCAGCACTACCATCACTTGCTCTCTTGCTCATGTTGAATATGGATGCAAAAATGCCATAAGAAACCTGAAAAAGTTTATCTCCTTTTCCTGTTCAGATGCGTGAAAACAAAAGGCCCGCCAAGTTGCGACTGTTTATACTAGTGATGCTGGCGTCACCACTCACTAGCCCGGCAGCCAACGTGTGCAAGGCGTTTTTTTATAATACATATCGGGAATTAGTTATTATTTATATGAAAATGTAATTTTATTTTTTTTAATCTATTTTCAGTGCAAATACGAAGAAAATAATAGTGTAAATTGGGTCATAAATTAACCAGGGTCTTTTTTTATGAATTGTCGTTAGGAGAACAGTCGTTATCGAAGGCTTTCCTGTACAGTAGTGCACTGAGGTACTGTAGTATAAGTTGCTATTCATGGTTTTGCCAATTCGTGCCATTCCTTGGAACCTAGCCCCCGCGAATAACAAAGGCTTACTGTACTGTACAGTACTGGACTGCACCTGTAATAATAAACTGACAAAAGAGGTTATGTTACCGCCACAGTAAGATAAACTAAAAGAGAGAGAGAGGGGGTGAGAGGAGAGACAGAGTTGACAACGAACTTTGCTGAGGTGTTTAAATGGGCTCGTCGGCCACACTGGTAGCAGCTGTGAGACTGTCGGAGGGCAGTCTATCGTCTTCTACTGTAGAGACAACAGCTACCAAGAGGATATTATATTTGTTCTTGTTGGTCAAACCCTAGACCCCAAAACGTGTGTGAACTATTAAATCCTCTAAGAACTCTAAATAACTTTAATAAGTGTATTTATGTACTGCATATTGATCATATTATACAAACTGTGTCCTGATGTATCAACAGTTGTAACATGTGAGTTATATTTAAGATGTTAACAGGCTATGTACTGTATATTGATCGTACTATTCATACTGTGTGTCCTGATATACCAGCATTTGTTATATGTGAATTGTTCTTGAACAGGTTTTGACCGAATTATACTCATCGCGTCAATGACAAGGGTCTTATTATCCAGCACATCAAACGGCCCTATAGTAGCAGTTATAGGTTAGTTAAACCCAACAATAAAAAAAAAATTAATTGAATAATATTTTTGCCTTATACACATATTTGACAAAATCAAGACTGCAAGCTATTATTCCACAAGTGTCAAATTAAATAAGTGAATCAGTATCTTACCATTGCCTCGCTGCCCATACATGTTGATCACACACGGCAAACTGTAAAGGAGATAACGGGATCAATATTTCAAACTTTTAGAAACATAGATAATGTAAATACCGATAACTAAACACAAATGGCAGGTGATGAAATTTACAACTAAGTACATATACAGTGGTCCCTCGGTTAACGAATTACCTCCCATAAGAATCTTCATTTCGGTTAACGAACAAAAATTCGGTTAACGAACAAAAATTCGGTTAACAAAATTCTTACGAAAATGTTTCGACATGCTTTGGCTTGCTCACCAGCTGGAAGATTAGTCTGCCAATACAGAAATCGGTTCTAGGACTTACATTCGTTAAAATTGGAGTAAATATCAAGAAGGTTGTACTATTCAATAATTTTCCAAGTTTTATATTAAAATTTTTAGTAATTTTAACACTAATTTAACATAATTGCAGTACAGGGAACTGGTTTTTGGTGCGCCCATCAGCCACTTCACTCACCCACCAAGGCCTCAGTTTGTATCTCTGTTCAGTGGAGGAAACATCTTGTTTGTGGGTCTCTTGAACACAGAGTATTTTTACAGTACAATTATTAGTCATTCTGAAATTTATTTAACATTTTGACAATATATAGCACAGTGCAGTGTTGATTTAAAGAAAATAATCTTGAATTACACTGAGTGAACTTAAAATTTTATGGGTGAAGTGATGGCATCAAGCATGGGGAGATTTCTCTTCCACCCCCACTTCCTTCTCTTCTCCCTTCTCCTCCACCCCCACTTCTAATTCCCATCATCATCATCAACCTGGAGCCTTTTTTTTTTTTTTACATGGATTAGCCCACCCGGGCACAGGTCACTGACCCACATCGAAGTGTACTTTACTGCATTCATTTTTAGTTTGTATGTAATTTTTGGTGAGCTGGAACCAATTACCCAAAATCCCATTGAAACAATGGTTTCGGTTAATGAACGACCTTCTGGAACGAATTGTGTTCATTAACTGAGGGACCACTGTACAAGTATACTATACTGTTATATAGTATGGTAATACAAGTGTAGACTTCAAATCTGGGACAAGTGAAACTAAAACCAAACCAATTTTGAGGATTTTCCAGTTTCTTGAACCTAGGATAGGTAAAATTTTCTCTCTCCGGATCATCCATCTGTTACTCTGGGTCTACCAGTAGACGACAGTACATCAAGTTTTGCTTTTGCACACTCGCAAACACTCAGTGGAACTTTGTTTTATTTCTTAAATAACAAATTACAGAAAATATCATTGTCAACAGGAGGGTCTGAAAATACATGATGGTTACGTTCCGAGAGACTAGTGTAAGAGTGAAATTCATGCTCTATTTGGGTTCCCCTTGTATATACAGTACAGTATAGTATACGTAAAATATGTTTTCTACACAGGTACAGTATCCCTTGCTTAGTAATCAGGAGGCATTCCTGAAAACAGATCATCAAGTGAAATCATCGCTAAACAAGGGAAAACAAGAAATACGAGGGATAATGAGGAATAATATCCTTGGAGATGGCAAGTAATTGTGTAGCCAAGTCACCTACTAGCAGGCACACTACCCAGACAGGTTTATTTACTATCCTTGGTCAATTTGCCTTACTGCTTAGTAGTGTTTACCATTGCTGTGTATCTGTACTGTCTCGGCACACAGGAAACTGCATATTACTTCCATGACCTACATGCACTGTAGAACGACACTGTCTATATTCATGCTGAACTGTATAACTGCATAGTTTATAATCATGCTTATCTCATTATACTGCCATCTGCTCCAGTACCGCATTACCACTATGGAGCACCCTTCTCCTAGGCTAAACTTCTCAGGTTGGATTAATTTTCCTTTTTGAAAAACTTTAAATGAAAAAAGATAAGATATGTAATGGTAAGTATGTTATTTTTTTTTTCAAGCTTTTGTTGTATAAATTAAGCTATAAAAAATATTAAACCATATAAAGTTATGGTAATTATTAATTTTTTGCTCATTCCTCTCTTTTGGGTATTATTTTGCAAGTGGACTCTCAAAAGATGATTGCAAATGAATATTTGCTATAGGCAGATCTCGCCCATCTCATCACTTTTTCATATGGTATTTGTATCACAAATTACATGGCATATAAGCGATATACAGTGATATCCCCATTAGCCAGAAAAATTGGTGAAGAGCACTTCTGGGGATGAAGGATTTCTGGCTAACCAGATGATTTTCTCAAACCCGGAAAAATTCCTTATCCCCAAAATCTTTTCCAGTTACTGGGAAAAGTCTCAGAGTGTCTAAACTAGACATCTTGCACACACAGACACTAACCCACTTCCCCAGAATGTTTCTGGGTGCTGGGGATATTTTTCTTCAGTCTAAACTACCAGTCTGTAAATGCAGTTCTAATTAAGTTAGAAACTCCATTTCTTCACTATAATAATCCAGAATAGTATTCTAAAAGCTTGGTTAAATAAATATATTTGAAAATTAAAAATCTATAGGATATGGGCGTGAATGAAGCTGTGAGTTACAGCAAAGACTGGTATTTTCCACTTCCATGGAGCTGTGGGGGATTAGTGGGTCTCATGTACCTGACCTGCCCTGACCTGACGCAATGTCAGGTGAAGGTAGGGTGGGGGATTAGTGGTCTCATATTACTAACCTTCTGATGGAATGTCAGGTCACCCTTTCTTAGCTGGGGGATTAGTGGGTCTCATGACCTGAAGATGTCTTGAATAAACACGAAAGCTAAAGTATTTTTAGAGAGATTGTGATAAGTATAAGTATAAATGAACAAAGTTGTATCCCTTCAACATTATTATAACTGCCAGGTGAGCGACTGTGGGATAATGAGACCCTAACACGTAGGACTCGATTGTTCTTTATTCGGTCAAAACCTGCAGAGTACAAATTACATATGAGATAATTAATTCACCAGTATGTTCCTTCACTCTTAACAACTACATATGATATATTTGAGTGCAGTGGGGGTGTTAAACCATATAAAAACTTATGTGTTTCCGGTCTAATGTAGGACTTATTAGCTCACTGGACGGCTAGAGACTATCTTCTGAACCCCACAGGGAGCGAGTTAGTTAGCCCCGAGGCGAGGGCCACCTGTTTCACATTTAACACCTCAGCAAAGTTCGTTGTAAACACTCACTCTACCTCCCTTTCTCTCTCTCTCTCTCTTCTAGTTTTCCTACTGTGGCGGTAACACTCCCCGTCGAGTTTGCTCGAAATCCATTGTCTGCCGGTGTTAGATATAAACTAGGTTACCCCATATTTATGTGAATATGTTGTATTATGTTTTGTGTTAGTTGTGGAATAAAGCGCCACTTTGAATGCGCATGTTATGTTTGTTTTGTTTTTACGGAAGGTCCCGAAAATATACTGGAAAGAGCAACATCGTTTGTCATTGTCTGAGCCTCTCGTATCATATTTCGTTGATATCCACCAAAAATGAACATTGTAACTTCAACAGGTTATGGGCCCAGGCACAGGTTGGTGTTTGATGGTGATGAAAGCAAGTATGAGTTGTGGAAAGTGAAGTTCTTAGGCCATTTAAGACTTCAAAAACTTCTCGATGTCGTTATCAAGATGGAAACGGTGCAGAGGTGACGGAGAAGAACGCTGAAGTGTTTGCAGAACTAGTCCAATACCTCGACGATAGATGTCTTTCCCTTATCATCCGAGATGCCAAAGATGACGGTAGGAAGTCATTAAAGATTCTCCGTGAACCTTATCTAGGCAGCAGCAAGCCAAGAATTATTGCCTTGTATACAGAACTGGCGTCACTCAAGAAATCCAATGAAGAGGCCATTACCGACTACGTGATACGGGCTGAAACGGCAGCGGCTTCATTGAAACTAGCAGGTGAAACCATCAGTGGCAGTTTACTTGTGGCAATGTTATTAAAAGGATTATCTTTAAAATATAAGACATTTTCTACTGTTGTGACGCAGAAAGAAATAGCTGTTAGTTTCTCTGAATTTAAAGTAGCATTAAGAAGTTTTGAAGAAATTGAAAAGTGTCAACAACAACAAGGTGACGATGCAGATAATGTGATGAATACAAAATTAAAAAATATGAATATTAAATGCTTTTCCTGTGGAAAATTAGGACACAGAAAATCTGAGTGCAGAAGTAAAGACAAATATAATCCTAATGAAGCAAAGCCTAGTAGGTGGTGTGATAACTGCAAATCCCCTACTCATGATACAAATTATTGCCACAGAAAAAATTCAGTAAAGTCTGTAACTAACAGTGAAGAAGATAGCCATTCACTTGCATTTAGAGCTAGTGTCAGTTCTGTTTATAATAATGTAAGTAGTGATGTAAATGCGCAATGCCTGTTGGTAGACTGTGGAGCGACATCACATATCATAAGTGATAAATCCCAGTTTGTAAAATTTGATCAGAATTTTTATTCTTCTAACCATTGTATAGAATTGGCAGATGGTAGTAGGCAAAATGGTATTGTATCAGGTAGAGGTGATGCAAGAGTTGAAATAAATGATGTTACTGGTAATAGTCATAAAGTTCTACTCAAAAATGCTCTACGTGTTCCTTCCTATAAACAGAATATATTTACTGTTTTAGCAGCCACAGAGAAAGCTGCAACAGTAAATTTTACCCCAAATTCTGCAGAATTGAAGGCCTCAGATGGTACAGTGTTTGATATTAATAAACATGGCAACCTGTATTATCTGAATAATGTGAACTCTCAGAAAAGCAGCAGTCATACTATTGAGGAATGGCATAAAATTTTAGGTTATTGTAATGTGAAAGATATACTTAAATTAGAAAACATTGTTGAAAGTATGAACATTACAGATAAGAATAATTTTGATTGTAATGTATGCATTTCAGGTAAAATGTCTCAGTATAGAAGTAGAGAACCTGATCAGCGAGCTACAACCAATTTAGAACTTGTACACTGTGATTTAGCAGGTCCTGTAGACCCTACTGCAAGAGAAGGTTTTAAGTATGCCATTTCCTTTGTATCTGTAGATGACTTCTCTGGTATGATAATGATTTATTTTTG